GTAGCATGGCTTGAAACTAGTCGAGTTCCTCTTCAAACAGTTACGTGAGTACGCCGAAAACATAATAATTAATTTTGAATGAAAATTCAGCTTTTCCTCTACTCTGTAAGCTGGGATGTCTCGATAAACTCTCGATGTTGTCTATGTGTATCGTAGAAGATATTTATATTGGACTTTATGTTGTGTTCCTTGAATGACATATTACGTTGCTACAGCCCCAAGTATTAGTTCTGTTTGTCTGTATGTAAAGAGGAGAGCATGGTAGCTTTGCATTTACTTTGAGAGCAACGTGTCAAGAAAAGTGAGTATTTTCAATATATTTTAAGTTTAGGCGACTGCGCTTTACTTGCTGGGGGTATAAAGTTTTCGGGGAAAGGTACTGGGGGTAATAATGCTCAGTGGGTAAGGGATAGCGAAAGGCTAGGGTTGTGTTGTTAGTGTGTACCAGCGAGTGAGTGGAGTGTGTCCGCAGGCGAGGAGTCGGACGGCGCGGGGCGCGGGCGGGGCGCGGGCGCGGCGGGGGGGAAGGAGAAGCGCAAGCCGTTCTTCAAGAAGGCGGAGGCGAGCACTCCGTACGACGTGGTGCCCTCCATGCGCCCCGTCGTCATCGTGGGGCCCAGTCTCAAGGGCTACGAGGTCACCGACATGATGCAGAAAGCTTTATTTGATTTTCTCAAAAGACGCTTTGAAGGCAGGTGAGGGTGGTATCTTCATTACTCGACGCACCAAATTCGTATCGTGATTTTAGCACCGACCGAGCGAGAGTCGATCTTATTACTTTATCTATCTATTTATTTATTTAATATAATTAATTGGCATGAACAAACCACTTGTATGACTGATACGTTTCCCACTACCAATTTTCACAGTTCTATCAGTCTAATAATTTCTAAATTAATACAAACCCACCAATATCCACGGAGACGGGCACTGCGAGTGAGCGGGACGACTAACGCTTTGTTCCAGCCAGTGGAGCTGCGCCTGCGCCGATGGCACTAACAACTAACCGTTTACCTCACGGACTAACATTGCAGGATAATAATAACGCGCGTGATGGCCGACATATCTCTCGCGAAGCGTTCTCTGCTCAACAACCCGTCGAAACGTGCCATCATGGAGCGTTCCAACTCGCGGTCCACTTGCCTCGCTGAAGTGCAGGTATGACGTGTTGCAGGATCATCATCACGAGGGTCCAGTCCGATATATCGTTGGCCAAACGAACACAAAACGCGCCTAAGAAACCGTTCGTAGAGAGGGCCGGTAACAGGAACTGTTTAGCCGAGGTCCAGGTGCGAATACTTAGTAGGTAGCTGTGGTGTTGTTGTTTGAGGCACGTGACATCTCTTGGGCGTGTTTGGAATGAGTGGATCTAGCTCGGCAGCCTCGGGCCGGAGTAGGAGTTCTCGACCACCTAGCTACTGGTAGTGGACCGGAGCGACCTTGGTCACGTAGAGGCGCGGTACACAGGGAGCAAAATTCTAAAGTTTACAAACGACTGTCTCAAACACACACAGTTTGAGTCCCTGGTGGACCACAGCCGTGTAGTTCTCGCCAACAATACTTTCTTACCAAAGACTCCTCTGATCAAAGTCCTGCAAAACGAACAATAGTGTTTTTGATCTTCATACACTTGTATTGTGATCTTTACCACAGTTAGCATAGTGCGTTAAAATCTTGCTTTTTCACGCTACACACAATGTTAAGCATCAGATGTATCTTTCCATTTCTCAGTTTTCTAGATTTAGTCACACTTAGTTTATAGAAGAGTTTCAGTATTCGCTCGCTCGATCCAAACATGCTCATAATGGTACTTGTAACATAATGGTTGACTAGCGACTAACATACTAAGACATCCTTCCCAAATACTCCTTTATGACAAGTTTACATTCCTGTATTTGGTGGATACAACTTTACATAGGCATTAGGCTTTACATGATACTAGATGTATTTTTGCTAATTGAGTAATTAGATTTCCTTCCTAAATTTCCCTCCCTATGGATGTCCATTAAAATAACAATCGACTCATTTTTGTTGTTAATGAAGAGTAGACAGAAGAACGTAATTATATTTATTAGTAAAGTACCTTTAAATTCATTATACAAACATCCACTAGTACTTTAATTATTAGAATATCTTATTTTCTTAATTTTCCTTTATAAGTCCATTACAAGAACTAGACAATTAGTTTTTATTTAAATACTAGTTTAATATCTTCATTCATTTTTGCTAGCCCTCATGTAGTTAATATACCTCATCATAGAAACATTTATGTGATACATACAGACAACATTAACTTACTCTAGTTAATACTTAGCCGCTAATTATACACAATTAGACATAATATGTACCTTAGTCTCCACCACAATCCCCTCCCACTAACACTATACTATGACTTTAGAACACAAAGACTAAAATTGCATGACAAGATTGACATTACAGTGGCTGGAAATATATTAATTTTGCATCGCTATACCTCTACTCTCTGACCGTTATTCAATGAAATAAGTACCTTATTTCTAGTTATTTATTATCCAATATTGATCCACTGATGCCCCCAGTAATCAGTGCATATTAGGTAATCGAGGAAACTACTAAACTAGCGACCTTATGTTATGTATATCGTTTAAAAAAGATGTAGTCTATTTTCCTCTATCTAGATATTACTGGTCAAAGTGTAGAGGTAGCAGAAATGTGCAATTGTGCAATCGCTATGCTGTTACAAATAATATTTACATTTATTACATCTAATTTTAGATGGCTAATTATGAAATAAAGTATTGATCTTACGTACCTTAGATAAACTTATATATTTTCGTACGGAACTAATTACTTTATAATATAAAGTATAATATACATATTTAACTTTATTTAGAAATAGGTACTACATTTGAACATCAAGATTATATATACCATTTAATAACTTTTCTCAGTATCTGCCATTCAAGAATGTGATATGTGATATCAGTCTGATCCGACGTCTAGTAGTCGATACAGAACAAAAGGCTCTTCTAAAACAAAATAAAAATATAATGTAACTAAGTGTCATCAGGTATGTGATATTGTATGTTTGTAAACGGACCCACGATGTATGAGAAAATCCTAGTGTGGGGCATATTATAAAAAAAAAAGAAAAATACCTATAGCCATCTAAACTAAGATGTAAAACACTAATATGCCACTTATACTATACATTTAATTAATAGACTATGCTTATGACTATGTAGCTTACTTGAAGAAGCTATTATGCTAGACCGACTAGACCTAATTTTGTCGTGGTTAGAAGATTTTTAGTTAACTGCTAATAGTACCTACGTACCTACACTTACAGGCTAACGTTTCCGTAGTTGTAATTAAAAATTAATATTTTTTATTAAGATATTTTACAAATGTCTAACTGAGAATGCATATTTATGTGCATGCTTCATACAAATTAAGTAGCACATTGATAAGATTCCAACAAGTGCAGAAAACAAATCCGACGCACATTTTAGTAACTAAAATCGCGGGTTACTCGCGTGAATATACTGAGAAAAGCCATCTGTAGTTCGAAACTAGTAGAGCTTTTCTCAGTATATCCACGTGAGTAACCCGCGATTTTAGTTAATTTAGTTTGTGTCACGATAGTTATTATAAAAACAGCACAATTTATGCCTGTTTTTGATGAGAAGCTACTTAATTTCAAGCCGGGCGTGAGTATAGTCTTACTGTCACTATGGATTCTTTGGAAAATGACAAAGAATACGATATTTAAGCGCGACTAACAATTGAGTAGCCTTTCAATATTCGGATGATAGCCACATGAAAATAAAATAACAAGAACTGCTAAACATAAATCTATTAACAAACATATAATTTTAAACATATATATTTATTTAAGTAGGGTTAATCAATAAAATTACTTATTTACAGCTTTTCGATATTGTCGCCATTTCGCATTGCGTTTTGAATCTTAATAGTTTTTTTTATCCGCAATTTTATTAACTCGTGCGTTTAACGCCATCTTGGTTTAATCGCAATATTTATGAAAGTACGAGACTGAGACATAACCTACGTACGACCGATTACTTCAAAGCCAGATAAATTTTAACTTATGAATAACTTTGAATATTTGTTAATTCTTCCATACTAAAAAATTACAATTTTATTTTACAGTTTAGAATTAACTGATGATTGAAAAATCGGCCCTTAGCGGAAAAAATATCGGATATAAGATCCTTGATGATATCAAAGTCAGTTTATGGACACGTACTTTCATAGATATACTTATCATGCAATTTCTTGAAGCAATGTGCAAATTAATTGTATCCAGGCGGAAATCGAGAGGATATTTGAGTTGGCTCGCACACTGCAGCTTGTGGTGTTGGACTGTGACACCATCAACCACCCCTCGCAACTCGCCAAGACTTCGCTGGCTCCCACCATCGTGTACCTGAAGATATCCAGTCCCAAGGTACCATCTGTTCTTACATTCATATTAAACATGTTCTATAATCTCTATAATTTACACTAGCGTTGCTGGAAAGATGAATGAAATGGATTCTCTCATACTGCCTAATTCATCTAAAATAATAATTTTGAAGGGAGCAGCACACTTTATAACAATCAAATATAATATAATTGATAATAACAGTTTTTAATGGAAACTGTAACTTCAAAGACATTTGAAGACAATAATCAGCAATTTAATACCTTCTGTAAAATTGTTCATTGAGGTACAGTTAACCATAACAGTTCCTTAACGATAGCAGCTTAAAGACGACGAAGTCTTTCGTTCTTGTGGTCTTAGTGACACTCATGTAACATGGGTAGCTTCTACTATCATTATTAATCTTAATGTATGCATTTAGAATTAATTATTTAAATTATAATTTACAGGTGCTACAGCGACTGATAAAATCTCGTGGCAAGGGTCAGACGAAGAACCTGTCCGTTCAGATGGTGGCAGCGGAGAAGCTGGCGCAGTGTCCGCCGGACATGTTCGACGTCATACTGGACGAGAACCAGCTCGAGGATGCTTGTGAACATATTGCTGAGTATTTAGAGGTAAAACAATGAATAAACTTTTTTGTTTTCATTAAAAATATGACCTTTGATTATATAATGTAAAGAGAGATAGAGCGTCTCCATACAATATTTTTTATTGCCTGAGGTACAGGTTTCAAACCTAGTTCAGGAACATGGAATAACATAGCAATAAGAATACAGAATTAAGACATACGAAATTTCTGTTTATATTTTTTTTAAATAAATAAATTATTTATTTAATAGCAACAAAAATGACGTTCCGAAATTTCTTGCATGTGTGCGTGCGGCTTGTGGTTTACACGGAGCAGAAATGATACCAGCTACGACAAAAATTCTCCAATCAAATGACAATAACTAAATTTGTATGGAGCGTAGTGCCTTTTTATTTTTTCGCGGCAGTTGATCGGATGCGGAAAAACTGATGCAAAATAACATTACAAACAAAATAGTATATGGGGTCTTATATCAAAAATTCAGTCGAAACCAAGTTAAATCAGTTCAAAGATGTGAAAATAGTGCTAAATTATTCTGTTATTTTGTTGATGGTGACCGTACACAACGCATATTTCTCCATTTACTTGTCAGAAATATTTTGTAATAAATATTTATAAACGATTGCAAGGAATATAATAAAGCTTATTGTGAACCTTTTACTTATTATTTTTTTCGGTTTGTTCAGAACAGAGTTTATTTACGAATGAACCATTAACTGACTACTCAAGTAAAAAAACATATTGCTTGATTGGCTAGCGTCTTTACTTTACTATACAGTTTATGGCCTAAGACAGATTTTCATGACCAATTTCCTTTCAGCCAAAAAACTAGAAATTACTTTACTGAGCCCTATAATGAAATGCTATGTTAGTCAACTACGGCTCTAGTAGCGGATTGAGTAGCGGCAGTCGTCATAACACGTAAAAAACATTTTTCTGTCGACTTCTTCGACCAGTAACTATTATAACTACAGTTAATCTACAGTTAGCATAACATTAGACAGATATCGAAAAAAGTGATGGATTATACTTCGACAGATCACAAAAATATAAAAAAAACTGTGCCCTCATCTGACGTATAGTCCATCACTTCACAACCAGCGGATTCCTTTCTTCAAAACATTATGGTAACGATTAAGTAGATTAGTTTCCAATCAGGAGTAAACAGCTAAAAAATAGTATTTGTAGAATAAATATTGATTCTATTTCTGCAGCTCGACCCCACAACAAAATGCCGTACGACATAATGCTGTGGAAATAACTAAAATAGACAAGCCTAGCTGTATCTACGTCCGTGAGCTGTCTAATCTGTCTAACTGCAAAAGCAGCTGAGCTCAATCTCCCCGAAAGCGCCTTTATATGCGGACCCCATTGTAGCCTATTGTCTAACGTAATGCCTAAAAATACTGTCTCGTCGACAAATTCTAACTTTTGACCGTTCAAAACAATATCACAATCGTTACTACGCACGTTTGGTAAACTGAATTTAATACATTTTGTTTTTTTTTCATTAAGTGCTAGATTATTAATGGTAAACCAATTATGCACTTGAAGAATGGAGCTGTTTACGTCGTCAAGATTATTTGTACGTCGATCTACTTTAAAAATTAATGATGTATCATCTGCAAAAAGCACCATTCTTGGTTCATTTTTAAATATAAATGGCAAATCATTTATATAGACTAAAAAGAGAAAGGGACCCAATATTGAACCTTGAGGAACGCCCATATTCATCCCAGAGCCCTGTGAGTTAATACCGTTAACATGAACCTTTAACTGTCTTTCTTCTAAATAAGATTTCATAAGACGGAGCGCAGAGTTTCTTATCCCGTAATGATCTAATTTCAGCAAAAGTGTTTCGTGGTCAACGCAATCAAATGCTTTTGAGAGGTCACAAAATACACCAATAGCATCCTGTGCTTCCTCCCAAGCACCAAATATTTCCTTAATCAAAGTGACACCGGCGTCAGTTGTGCAACGACCTTTAGTGAAACCGTATTGTTGTTGGTGAAAGATGGAATGTTTATTAAAATGATGAAGCATCCGAGACAGCATCAACTTTTCAAAGACTTTGCTGAGAACCGGTAAAACAGACACTGGCCTATAGTTGTTAGGTTCTTTAGTGTCACCACTTTTAAATAGTGGGATAACCTTACTATATTTCATTAGGTCAGGGAAAACACCGTCATCTATACATTTATTGAAAATCACAGCCAGATATGGCGCTACAGTTTGGATAAGTGACTTGCAAACCATTACCGATAAGCCCCAAAGATCCTCCGTTGATTTAGTCTTGATTTCTTTAAAAACTTTTATAATTTCTAGAGGATTCGTATATCGAAAACTAAAGTCGTATTGACATGATTCTATGTTGTTCTTAAGCAAAGTTACAGAGAGGTTTGCTGATGACTTTAAATGTTCAGTTGTTTTAATAGGAATACTAGTAAAAAAATTTTCAAACTCCTGGGCTACATCTACGTTTGATGTAATCTGTCCCCTTTCGGTATTTAAATTAAATTCTGAGTTTCTTAATCTTTTCCTACCGGTCTCGTTGTGTATAACTTTCCAAGTAGTTTTTATCTTATCATCAGACGATTTTATTTTATTACTAATATAAAGACGTTTCGCGACTCTGCATACTATTCTAAAGGTTTTTGAATAAGATGTTACATACTGGTGAAATTGGGGGTCATTTTTGTACGGTTTCATTCCATAAAGTTCAAAAAGTCTGTCCCTACTCTTACGAATACCTACAGTTGCCCAGTCGCTAAATACAAATTTGGTATGAATATCTTTATTTTTTATTGGCAAAATATTGTTAAATTCCTTGTTTAACATCTCAAAGAAATCATTGTAGAATTTATTCAGATTACTAGTATCAAATACTTTCATACATAATTTAGTAGCTAAAGAATTGCTCAATTTCTCCAGATTTTTAAACGTGATTTGTCTATATCTTATTTGAATTTTTAGGATAGGTAAATAAGAGCTATACGCAACCATTAGTCCACAGTGGTCGGATGGCAAGCTATTTATAATATGTTTTTCTTTGTAGTCACAATTACAGAAAACATTATCAATACAGGTGGCGGTAGAGGATGTTATCCTTGTTGGTTCTAAAAAAACATTTTTTAAATTAAATGATCCAAATAAATTTAACAATTCCATACTACTAGTACTATTTTCTAATAAATTAATATTAAAATCACCACATATAATTACTGATTTGTGACTAGAACAAACCTTTCTTAAAACATCCTCCATGACAGAATCAAATACTGTAAGATTCTGATAGTTAGGTGGCCTATACACACAGACAATAACATGTCTATCCAGCTCAACACAGGACAACTCAATGGTGTGTTCAACTGACAGTGCTACAATGTCTTTCCTTCCTTTTGATTTAATACTATTTTTTACTAATATTAAGGACCCACCATGTAACATATGCTTTCTACTGAAATTACTAACTACATTATAATTATCTAAATTTAAAGATATTAGTTGGTCCTCCTTAAGCCAATGTTCTGATAGACAAATTACATCAAATTTAGTCTTTTCCAGAAACATCTCTAATTCAAAGACTTTTGAGGAGCAGCCCTGAATGTTAATATAAAATAATTGTAGATTGTGCTGCCCCTGAGTATAAGCACACACACACACATACACACGCCGTGCCCGGTCAGTACGCACACACACACACATACACACGCCGTGCCCGGTCAGTACGCACACACACATACACACACCGTGCCCGGTCAGTACGCACACACACACACATACACACGCCGTGCCCGGTCAGTACGCACACACACACATACACACGCCGTGCCCGGTCAGTACGCACACACACATACACACTGCGTACTTACACACACGCCACATAACAATCATCACATAAAATTAACTTAAAATTATTCTGAACAAATACAATACCCTAATTATTATGTTTTTCGGCTTACTCACGTAACTGTTTGACGAGGAACTCGACTAGTTTCAAGCCATACTAGAGGTGCATATACATGAGCAGCATTTTGCGACCTGCGACGCGATGACTGTCGCGCTGCTACTCAGTAACAAATAAATACATGAGTAAGCCGAAAAACATAATAATAAATTTTGTATGTCATACAATACCTATTAATTTATGACCAGAATGTTATATTTATACTATAATTGTCACAAGGCCAAAACAGGACAAAGTAATGAAGATACGATAAGAAATCAAAAGAATTGAATAAAATCATCTAATTCCTAAACTGGCACTATAACGTAGGTATAAAAAGACTTTATTACCTACAAAATACATAATATATTCGACTATTTTAGCTACTGACTTCTAACACTTTATATTCTAAAGCTATTTGTTCAATGTTCGATGTTATAACAATATTAATTATGGCTTAATAGCTAGGTATTATCAATTATTAAGCGCCTGATCAAAACCTCTGAGCAGTCAATAGCCTGGCTACGCATTCATTGGTACAGTCAACCAAGTCATGTAGTATGCAAATCAAAATTTTATTTAGTTCAATATAAACTTCGTTAAATAGCATATAACAATAATATCGCGTCATCGTGGTAGCCCAGAGGTCAAGACGCCTGCTTTTCATGGTTGTGAGTGCCGGTCCCAACCTACCAACACCAAGTACCAATGTGACTTTTTCCGAGTTACATGTACTTTCTAAGATTATCGAGACACCAATGACAAACGGTAAAGGAAAACATTGTGAGGAAACCTGGGCTTATAATGTCTAATTATAAGTTTGTAATCGCCAACCCGCAATGAGCAAGCATGGTAATTAATGCTCAAACCTTCGCGAAAAGAGGCTTTGCTCAGCAGTGGGTATTTATAGGCTGATGATGATATTGTGTCTGTACTAAATATTTTTTTATTTCTTACCTTCATATTAAATTACTTGGATGATTGTACCTAACACAAAATGGATGTTAGCAACGCGTTTCTATTGCTTTTTACCAAGTCTCTGATAAAAATGAAATATTAAAATTAGTCCTACTTACGTACACGTATCCGAAACAAACACACTGTTCCAATTATCCAATTACTCTACAATTGAAAAGTCTACACAAATATACAGTAAATGAATCTCAAACATAACTTTTGGTAGTGTATGTATATGACCCCTGTGTAACCGTGTACTGCGATATTTTGAACCCCCTGCTAACACTGGAGGACACCGCGAGAGGTCCGACTCGTATACCTACGAGAGGGATAGAGGTAACTTATCACAAAATAACTGTTCCTATTCACTTTTATATTTTTTTAAATTATTGGTTGTATTTATTTCGAGAACTCTCATCTCCAAAGGTGTTTAAATTTTAGGTACTTCTACAAAACAAAAACCACCATTTACTTTTAAACGACATTAAGCATCTTCATAGAGCTACATATCACTCCTGATACATTCTTTACATTCGTCATAATTTATATTTTAGTTTAGAAGATAGATGTATTCATAATCATTACATGTTTGTCATTCTGTCTATCAATGTCTACTAATATCTAAGGTACACTCATGGACTTTGCTTTACAAAAATCTAATAGGAGTTTTTTTCATTTATTGTCCTTGACTGTACCTCATCGTATTGACGTTGTTTGCATACGACCGTTTCTAAAATGGACTTTAATCTCAAGGTCGTAGAAGCATTTATCCCAAAATGAAGATGTGGTAGTATGCGAACTGCGTGAGACATAGATGTTGTAATAGATGTGGTCCCGTCCCTGCAGTGGAGCCCCTCAACTGACCGTCCTATTCATTTCAGTACAAGCGTCGGGGCAGGCCCACTAACATCCGAGCCGAAGACTAAATTCCAGGTGTTTATTGTCAGACGCACCGGCCCCCGTCCAGGTTGCATACAATTTCTAGCGGCCCCCATCCTTCTAACCGCTTGTCGCTTCAGGGTGATGCTTCATTAACCCCTCAGAATCCAACAGCTGATTGAAGCTGCTGGATTCTGCCAGCTAACACGTAACAGCGGTTCAGAATGACGCTAACTGTGATGCGTTTTAATGAGTTTGAAACCGTAGGGCATTAAAATTACCTATTTTGTTGAGAATCTGAAATACTAGTCTCGAGTAGCCGCACTTTACCAAGAATCGAATGTGATTACTTTGTCTACAATAAACGAACGTGTTTACTACGATGTTTACGAAGATGCATTCGACTTGATAAGATCTATCATTGTTTTGTGTCCCTAGTTGCACACATCTCATGCCCTTCTTCTCTCCCTTTCATCGCAACCCGATTCGCCGTAACACGTCGTCTCGATCGTCCGTCACGCACGAAGCAGATCGACTTTCATCAAGCAAGATACTTTCTCAAGGCGCAGAACGGTTTATCAGGCTTATATAGTCTGCAGCATCTCAAGTGAATTGTTCCGCAGCGTCGCCGTCCCCCCTCCCCGCGGCCGCGCAGGTCGTCATCCCGGTCCCGGGTAAAGTGCGAGTACATTCTGGTGGGAACATCATGCAAATGTCCCTCGGCCAAGTAACCTAGCAGTAAGTGTGGGTGCCCCTCTCCTCGCCCAGGAAGTCGGTCCTAATAAGTCCTCGCCCAGTGTGATGTGTGTGCCTCAAGCTCGAAACCTTGATCAATGCAAGGGCTGAATAGACTTCCAGGGCCGTGGTCGTTCAGATTAGTTTTAAGTTTTTGTGTTCTTTGTTGAGTTTGTTAAAAGAGTGCGTGTTGATTTTGAAGGCGTTTCATAGTTTTTTTCACAATCAACCATCACATATTACGTACGACTATCATCATGTGTTACGGTCTACAGGCGGCAGGTCCCGCGCGGCGCGGCCGGAGCGGCTGGAGGAGGACTACTACCCGCGCGGCGGCGAGCGGTACGAGCGCAGCTACCCGCGCGAGTACCACGACTACGGCCCCGAGTACACGCGCGAGCGCGCGCCGCCGCAGCACGCGGCCGCCGCACACGACGCGTATGGCCACGACTACACGCGCGACTACGCACGCGATGCCTACGCGAGGGAAGAGTATGGGCGCGAGTACGCGCGCGACGAGCGGCGCCGCGACCGCGACCCACCAGACGACTACGGGCCGTCCCGCCGCGCGCTTAACGCTGTGTAACCGCGCCGCACCGCGCCCCGTGCCGTGCGACTGCCGCGCCGCACTGCCGCGCCGTGCCACGCTGTGCCACATAGTGCCACACTGAGCCACATCGTACTACTTGGTAGCAGTGGCGTCACAGCGTGCCGCAGTGCCGCGCGTCACGCCGCACGGTGCAGGTCGCCGTGCCGCGTCTCGCCGCGCCGCCGCTTCTCGCGGCGATTGTATAAATTTTACATACTGAAGAGGGAGCTAAGTTTAGTACCGTTAGATATTATCCGTTTCCCATTTTTTGAACATACTCTGTAATTATATTGCATCGTCTGTACTTCATTGTTGCAATCATTTGTAAATAAAATACTTTATATCGATGACCGAAGTTTATTTTTCTTGTCTACAAAAATACACAGTTTTGTCTTTGAAGGAATGGGAAAATTTTCGTAAGTAGAAAGTATAAATAAGATTTATTTCAAACGTTATTTAGCATAGTAACTAGTAACCTTTACTATTTTTGCTCTATGAATACTCAAAGTCAAAGAAACAAATAATCACAATAAATAAATAATTTTCTTAGTTTGAAACTAGTCGGAACTTTTAGTAGTGAAGTACTTTTAGCTTAGTACGGTTTAGCAATGATTGTTTATGCTAGCAAAATATTGTTTTTTCCTGAATGATAAAGTTGTAGCCGTTTAATTCTTACAATAAGGTGAATAAAATAAAACTTCAGTTTTCAAAAACATATCGCAGTTTATTAGACGTGTTTGAAGTAAATTCGATGATGTTCAACATGTCAATGGCGCCCGTCACGGTGGCCATATTAAATAAATTAAACATTAAAACGCGTAACAGTTGTTAAATAAATCTAATTCTTCATAATATTATCGCGCGCGTGCCTCTTTGGTGTCTACTAGCTAAATAATACAATAATTATATACATTCTCATAGAAATTACATTTTAATAGTTGCAACATTTTACGGAAATTTTATACAAATATAAATTAAGAAATAATCCAGATTCCATAACAATTATCCAGAATATAGTTTGATGCGTCTTGCTATAGAAAGTACCTACACCAGAGAGATTTGCTTTAGGTACAAAATCTTATTTTAGCTCTATACCTTATACAAAATATAGTTTTTAGTTTTCACATCAACAAACAACATTGTCTTCGTTTCTCGTGGCTAATAAAAAACAGCATTGAAGCATTTTCTACATCACAAATATACAAGATATAGGCTCTTTCTGTCATTAACTTTCAGTAGCGCCTTAAAGTAATACAATGGCAAAAGCTATGACCATCTTAGGTACTATCAATTCACTTGTGACTTCTTGCAATGTATTTAATTGATATTATAGTGTTCCTGTATATATTTTGAAGTCATATTTACTATTTGCTCCAGTCTGGATTATTCCAGATAACTCTGAATACTGACAACATTCTGGATCTTTCTATGACTTATTAATAACTGCCTCATTAGGTTAATTACAAACATTATTGCAACAACTCTTTGGTTTCACACTCACTGAGAACCCTAGCTGACTGAAACTATTCTTCGGAGATTCTTATAGCAAAAATCCTTCCAGATTTCCATTTTCCAACTAATGACACAAAGCCGTGGTCCTAAAGGACCTTGGCCATTATGCCTTCCACAACGATTCACTCAGTTCCATCAGAGAGGGCCCAAAGCTTACACCAAACACCTCAGCAATCCATAATCCATATTTACACTTTACACAAAACTGTACGTTATTTACACTTCACAAGAGTCGCTTTCTCACTATCCTATCCAGGTGCTTGCGGCCTTTGGCGCGGCACTTTAATCGTCTAAACCTGGCTAAGTACACGGCTAGTCAGATGTACAAATAGTCATTCTTGGTTTCCCTACAGTAGCTGATGCTGGGGAACTTGTAGACGGGGCTATATCTTCTCTTCTCGCCTTCAGCTTCGAGGGAGAGAGCTGATAATGCTCTGGAAGGTTCCTCGTCTTCGGAGGGGGTTTCTTCGGGCGGAGGTAGACTTCGAGGCGGGAGGGGAGGTGCTCTCGGGTTTCTCCGTACCCTGAAGTGGCAGTCGCTGTCCACGGGCCAGGCGCGTTGCACCATCAGGGGAAGGTCATCAGGGTGTAACTTTCGCTCGTACTCCTGCGAGGGACTGACCTGAAATAACAATTTTTTAAATTAAATAACAGTTCAAATAAAGCATGCTTCAAGGTTAACTTACAGTCCTAATGATTAACGCGTAGATAAAAAAAATGTTTCAGGAAAAAGCCTACAGTAATCATATGAAAAGTTCAGAAATTACGGCATTTGCAATCGTACGATACAAAAAATACAAACCTCATAGAGCGAGAACCTCTCGACACCCTCATTGGAATCGTAGCAATGCAGCAAGATGGCCAACACCTCGTCTGCCGTGGTCCTCTCGCTGGTCAGCAGGCACTTGTACTGCGAGGAGGACATTAGCGCTGAGTCGTAGATCTTGATCAAACCACCAGGACGCATCTGAAGTTGGAACCTGGAAATTAATAGGTAAATGGTTAGAGTACATTGTGGGACAAATTCCTTAAAAAATCTGGTCCTTCGGTACCTATAACGGTTTTATGTAGGCTATTCAACATGTCACTGTAAACAGATATTCGACGATTTTAAGTCCTTCTGTAGACTTAAAATACACAGTACCTATTTCATTTAATTAAAATTTTCGCAAAAATTTTAACTACGAGCTATTCAATGCAGATATATTGTCTATTTGTCCAGAAAACCTTGCTTAGTGAATAGATCATTCACACGACTCGTTGTTCTCTGCCTAACTAACGAGCAATATAAGATTTTCTCAGTGTCCAAGGCTATTCTAATGCTGAGTATAACGGTAATTTATTTGATATTTGCTGTTATTCTTATTTTTTCTAGATATGTATAGAAAACTTACAGCGTCTAAACGTTGAACGTAATTCTTTGAAAATTTAGAGCTACTGTTGATAAATAAAGATCTAAAACTTAAAAAGTACAAAAAAAAAATACTAACATGAGAAGTACTTAATTCCTAATACACACCTTACAATAACAATGGCTTACGAAGCCCATAAAGCGTAATCAAACCTCCCATAAACCTAGTAATACATTTAAAACATATTGCTCTACCGTGGGTAACGACCCATTTAACATTGAATAACAACTAAACTGATCCGAGCGATCTACTTCTAACTGTCAACACACAGTAACACGATACATATGGTCAATAAAGAGCTAAGAGGACTCTTTTAAAAGTTTTTATAATTTTTATAGACGCCATCTTTGCTGGACGAGAATAGCTCGTGCCGGAAGAAGGGACAAAAGTGGATCTTTTTCGGTCCGCCGGCCGGTGGTCCCGGCGTGTACTGAAGGGTTTTCTGTTGACCGATGGTTGGTTAAAAATAAAAGTTTCTCGTGACTGAAGGGGTTTTGCTGATTTTGTTTTGAGTATTGTTTATGTGGTTTGAAATACTATAGGTGCACTGTATCACGCGTATTATTTACTTCGGACCAACCGAAATAATTTCAAAACAGTTCTTCTAATAAGTGTCTTATTTGATTCCAAACGTACTTATTAAATAATAATCCTATGTAAAACAATACTTACTTCGAATATCCTTTAGGATGGCACGCCTGTAGCGCTGCGGGCCTTGCATCATCATCCAACACCAGCGTAGTCCTTAGCCCCGCGGCCCTCACTCTGACCTCCATGCTGAGGTAGAACAGCCTCGGGTCTCTGTGCCTCATGCGGAACTTGCCCAGGAGTGTAGAGACCACCTCCTGCGCTCGAGTGCCCCACGTCACCGACAGCGTTTTGTACTCAATGTCAGGCCTGAGGCAGCGTGCGTACACTTTTATGGTCGTCTGTGGACAAAAATAAAAAATAATGTTAATTAATGATGAGTAACGCCACTGCAACAAGTTTCGGAACAAAGGACCAAGGTTTGCAAAGCTGCACAAAAGACCAAAATAAAGTTGAAACTATGAATACAAGAGGTGTGTTTTGTCAGTTAAATTAGATTTATTTACAAACAATGGCAAATTAGTATTGATACGATCTTTTAGTATTGGTGACACCGGATGATTTCCACTGTTGAATGGCCTCCCTTGTGTAGGAAACAGGTGTATACTGCCACGGTTGGGTGATAGGGTGGGTACAGTAACTACATCTTGATTTTATTTTTAAAATATGGGGTAGTTCTGACCTTCCGGTCTTCATTAATAGTCTACTACCCGCGATAAGAGGGTTATGGGTAGTAATTATTAAAATTGTCAACGGTTTAGTGTTTCTTGAATAGGGGAGTAAAAAACCAGATTATTCCCATTCATTCTCATACACAAACACAGCATTTAGAAAATTATCATTTCAGCAAACTGTTGGAATTGATAAAATTCAAATTTTAGGTCAATAAGTACATGTAATTTCAACTGTTATTGATAAGCACCAACATATCAAACTTCCGTTTTTAGGGAGTAATCGTTTGGAGCTACAGCCTTGTAATCTGAATGCAAACAGGAGATTATACCTACATGTAAAAATATTTTAGCAAACAGATAAATTGTGTAGCTAAACTAATGATATAAGAGTTCACGAGGAGTTTTAGCCAAATAGTATACCTAATTGATAATTACGTCAAAGTAATTCGACGCAAAATACATAAAAATTCTCAGTTCAGTTGAATTATTTTCCTCAAGGTTTATGAGTTTCAGGTAACAAACCACAATACACAATTAAGTCGGAACTCATGCATAATTCGAGGAGTAGGCAACAAGTTTTGCGAAAACAATACGTTGTTTTGAATGATTAAGTACTAGAGTACATTAGAAATATGTGAAAAGAAATACAACAATCTCTTGAATTTGACGTCGGCTCCAATATGTGTCCGCTTAGCCAGATAATAAACAAACGCTAAGTCCTAGCTCGATAAGACCCTGATTTAGGAGTCACCGGTAAAAGTCCTCACGATTTATGAATCAGAATACAAAACGATTTTGCGTGAAACAAGTGAAATAAGTGATAAGTCTAATAATACATAACACAGGATCTTACGCTGCTATACAGCTATTCCCTACCAACAATCCTTTTAGAACACAAAAAGAACCGCTAAACAAATCGCGGGTCCACAAACAAGATAGTCAAGTACAGTAACCAACGGCCAATAATGTTATTATACTGTGTAACAGAATGCAAAGATTGCAGAATATCCAGTTCCCACGCGAGTTGTTCACAGCACACAAAAAGAACAAATAACACAAAAATATAATGAACTAAAGTCACATCGCAATATTAAAATAATGGTGGATTTGTTGGAGATGACTCACGTGAATATTATGGGGGTGCAGCGCGAGACGCATGCGCGGGGCAGGGACGGGCGCGAACGCGGCCATGACACGTGCGTACGAGTCGACGCGCGGGCGATACTGAGCCTTGATCAGCCTTGCGTGGCTGCTTGGGTGAAGCTTTCGAGCACTACAGGGGGTTGTATTGGATTGCAAGCATCTGTCGCTTACTTCCTCATTTTGTCGATAGGGACAAGAAATGTTGAGATTTATAATGATTCAGGATGTTCATTGATGGGATGTAGGTTCTGTGAGAATTTTTAAAAAGCTGTTTTGGCTTTTTGTGATTTAGATGATTTTTTTTATGATTTAAACAAAAATTGAATTTATCTAATTTCATTTCATTTCCTTCAATAGGATCTTCTATAATCTGAGACATATCTTGTGTCCAAATCGTAGGTAAACAAACTTCTTAAAAACATGTAATTGTTAATCAACCAACATTTTCATTAAACATGATTAAAACATTTTAAAACATAGCACTTGCAACAAGACCTGACTTGGCGCCGGAAGCTCCCAGCCCCCACACAAAGGGTAAGTTGACACCTGTCCTATCACGGAAACCAAACCTACTCCCGATCGATTGTACCCACAACTTCGAAACACCACCGTGTGAATGTTTGAACACAATTTGCAAGTGGCCAGGTGGTTCAAGGACCCGAAAATTTATCGTGGGAGAGTTTAAAACTTAATTTATGAGCTCACGAAGGTCGTTTTATAAGAATCACTTGTTGTTGAATTTTTTTTTTTTTCAGGGTGTAATAAAGGGTTACTGACCTGCATTAACTCGTCGAGTACCGGTTTTGTAGACACAATTATAGAACAATAGGTTGCGGTCACCGGTGACCGCTTGGTGTTTGACAGTTTAAGAGAAAATTCCTTACAAAAATTTTATTCATAAAATAAACGTACCTCCATCGTTCTGGCACTAAACAAAAATCCGGACGGCTATTGTTCTAATATCACGTCCTAGGTTCCGAGTATCCGCGAAATTAGCATACAATACCATTGAGAAGTCATATTAAATTAACAACTTGATATACTGAAAGCTAGATTATTCCGAGCGGGAAGAAAGCACCGGTAAAAGTGGTCATCTTTCGTCGGCAGCCACTGAACTTGAACTGGTGACTCGGCGAAGGAAACGCAAAAACTGTCACCGGACGGCCCAGGAATGCGGTACTAGCGACCAAACCTGACCAGGCTAAGTATGTCCGTAGTCTTACATGAAACTAAGTACGCCCTTACGAATTGAAAGGTGAACAAGACTTGCAACGGCGCTGTAAGTATCAAGTTAAGTTGGTGCGCGACAGGTTAGAAAATGCGGTGATAAAAAGTTTTATACCACGGATTAGACATCCTTGTTACAAGGCTATTGGTTATGGCCATTTGTTAGTGCATGCTTGAATTTTAACGAGCAACACAACTTGTTCGTTCCAATCTCCTGTTCCGTTGTCAACACGAGAAAATGTCAAAACATCCGCTTTATTTTTCTTTGTTTGTTTTTTTCAGTCCCTCCGAACTTTAGTTAAGGTTTGATTCTTATTTTAACTGTTCTGATTGTCATATTATGAAAGTGGTCCACTGTATCGTCCTAAACATTATAAGCGCATCTTGTTGTTTTCTATAAGCAAAAACATTTTGAGGCAAGATACTTATTTCAACATCTAAACGTCTATTTCTATAACTCTCGCAACAATCATCAAAGAGCAACCATTATATAAGAATAAGTCCCAAAAGACCGATAATGGTCCTTTACCTCAAATTGCTCATAATGTGACCACATTGTCCGCAGCGTTGACACGCGCATGCGTAATACGTGGTAGTATAGCATTGTTAACATAGTTTGTATCAGTCAAGATAGATGGCGTTGCGCTTCTGTTTGTTATTGAGATTGACGTTTTGATGGATGAGTATCCTAATAGTAACAGATAATGATTGACACAAGTGATTTAAATTGTTATATGATAACTGTACGCAATTTAGAAATTTCTTAAAAACTGTTATTTACAAATAGTTATCGAAAAAAAAAGGATATTTAGTAAAGCCTTGATAACTGCCATAACGATGTCTGTTTAAAGCAAACTTGTGTCGCTAACTAAGCAGTTTGTTCTGCCCACACGCAGGTCTTATAAGACGCGGGTTAACCCCTGCAGTACTGGTAGGCGTTTATTACATCCAGTGTTGTAATGTGCGGCTCTATTGAAGGTAGCTATTAGATGCCAGCCACGAACACGCACCTTTAAAACTAAATTAGATAGGAGAGCTACTTCAATAGAGGATAATATTGTCTGCAGGTATGAAAGAGAAAAATATCTATATAATAAAAAATGAAATGCTGTTCGTTAGTATCACTAAAACTCAAGAACGGCTGAACCGATTTGGCTAATTCTGGTATTGTAATGTTCGTAGAAAAATATTTTTTATCTATTTTATGATGAGAAGGTCAATGTCAATCAAGTATCCAGAACCAAAAAGACCTTCGATTACGATACTATTATTGAAGAATCCAAAATGAACTGTAATCCTACGGCCGTAACTATAATACATCTTAAATACAATAATCCACATCATTGTACACCAGCTAAGAGTACACCTCGGTCCACATTTTCGATACAATAACGGTACAAAATTGAGCGAGTACTGTACCCTCGGGCCACGATAAATAATTTAAACTAGACCAACAACAAGCATTGCCAACAGGATCATACTTAGTACCGTTAAGAGTAATTCGGTGGACGTAATCGCACGCAAGAATCATTACAAAAGTGATGTAATGCTACTTTTTATGTATCGGAATGCGATTAAACTATTTGGAATTAAAAAAAGCTACAGTACAAAAACTTCGCGGTTAATTGGACACACCAACACTGGAAGCTATTGCACTGTATTTTTGTATCTGCTTAACGATGAAAGAGAGACTCTACGCCAATTGCTGACCACCCAAAACTAAGTTCATTGGCACCAATTAAGTATCTCTTATTTCCAACACACCCCAAGAGTTAAACTCACAAATATTACGGAACAAATTGATGAGGCTACAGTGGTAAGTGAGCAAACATCCGTCCGATGCGCACGAGTCAGGACGGGAGCAACGTGGCGCCGCACGCGCCACCGTCCCCTGCCTCGAATATCATCGACAGAGGATTCATTCTACATTTTCAAAAATTTTGTAAAAAAATGCATTTAAAAGTTTAATAGAAAACGGAGTACCTACCCTGTAAATGCTCTTGTAGAACTGGTTCCCTTTTTGGGGTAAAATGTTAGGTCTCTTGAATTGCGACTGAATAAATTATTATTCTGTCTTTCTAATACTTTTTTACATAAATTCAATCTCAACTAACGCAAGCGATCTGAAATTCCTATTTTACATTGCATAAAATAGATAAATAAGCACCAACTAATAATAAAACCCCGCCGACTTACTAAACTAAATAAAATATTTGTGAAACAAATTTCTTAGTAATACTTTTATGCAACTACTTACAATAAAAATATCAAAGGGTTTCCCATGGATGTCGTTTAGC